CACACACACACACACACACACACACACACACACACACACACACACACACACACACATATATATAATATGCTGGATCAGATGATAGTGAAGGGACTGATGATGCTATAAATGTGTCTGCAGCTGTACAAAATGAAAGAGACAGAATCAGCACCAGGAGGTCCAGCTACGAGGACAGCAGTCTACCGTCCATCAATGCCCTYATTCAGGCAGACGTTCTGTCCCGACAGGTGAGGCCCCCCCTGTCTTTCATCACCTGAGACAGGTGAGCAGGGTAACAGTCGTGTCTCCCCGCACAGATCACGTCCCCTGCTCCCATCCTGAACGGAGACATAAGGACCAAGAAGATCGCCACCATCACAGACGTCTGCGAGTCCATGAAGCAGCAGCTGCTGGTCCTGGTGGAGTGGGCCAAATACATCCCAGCCTTCTGTGACCTGCCCCTGGATGACCAGGTGACACTCGTACACACACAGTGTACACACCGCTGTACTCTCTGCGGTCACTCATCAACCAGTCATGAAACACACAGCTATCGGCTCGGCTCGGCTCGGCTCGGCTCGACCTTGAGTCGAGCAGAAAACGATGAGGCTGAGGCTGAACAAATCTCTCAGGGTTTCGTGGCTTTTCACCCCCAAACTCTGAAACGTTTCAACCAGAATGGTTAACGTATTTAATCCCGAGTTAGAATATGATGAGCTGGTTTTTAAAGTTGTACCCCTCCCTGAAAAGGAAGGTGCAGAATCATTAACAGTGTCATCACCGGGTCTGAGTAACTGATTTCCTGAAGCAGCGTGAGATCCTGGTCTCCTGTCAGCCACACACGTTAGGAAAACATGCAGCTGACATATTAGTGGTCAAGTAAGTGTATCAGCTGCATTCAGTGATGGTTATTACTTTTAAAATATAAATATTCTCATTCACATTACTATTCTGCACATACTCTGTCTTTAGCCTTATATTAGTAACTGTCAGCTCACTCTATGACTTTTGTAACTTTTCAAAAGTTTAACCTAATTGACAAATATTTCATCCATAGAAATACATTTAAATCTCTTCAATTCATTAAAAATGTGCTTCATCATTTCAGCTCTGCTTCTTTTAGCTTTTAGCAACCATTTTGCTACTTTGAGTTTGAGGTGGTCTTTTGCTAACAGGTACACAGCCGGAGGGGTGGCCAGAGTGGCAGATGACCCCCACCAAAAATGATTGGCAGTCTGTGTGTGGATCGCATGTGGCGTTTCAAAGAGGGACAGTTAATGAAATGTTTTTTTGCTAGATGGTGTAACTTTCAGGATATGCTGTGTATGTTTAAAAACTGCTAAATTAAAACCCTTCAAAAATTAGCATTAGCTTTGACTGTTAGTTTAGCTGGGACTAGCATGTTTTTTAACATTCATATGATCACAAATTTCTGCTCAATATTTCTTAAAATAGCTGAATTAGAACCATTTGACGTTACACTACAAAAACTGTCCATCTAACCAAGTTTTAAAATCTTATATCCAGCCAAAAAGTCTCTTTGATCTTGTTTTGAAACTGATTTACTAAAGAAGTGATTGTGTAAGAACAATCATCTTGTTTTCAGAATGTGTCAGATTATTCCCACTGCGCAAGGAAACGTCTAAACGACGTCTTTTCAACGTCATTTTTGGACGTCTAAATTTGGTCCCTCGCAGGTGCAGACTGTGACGCCAGAAGACGTCTTTTTTTTACGTCTGTCAAACGTCTAGTTTTGACGTCCTTCAGACCGCTAATTGTGGTGCAAATGCGGTCAATATAGACGTCTTTTCATCTTGTTAGTTTGAAAATTTGACTTGGTAAGATTCTTGAAATAAGAAAACATTGAGTCAAATCAAGTATTTCAAGAATCTGACCAAGTAAAATTTTCTTACTCCATTGGCAGAAATTTTTGACTTAATTTGAGTCAAATTTTCAGACTAACAAGACAAATAATCTTACACATTCTGAAAACAAGATGATTATTCTTACACAATCAGTTCTTGTTTAGTAAATCAGTCTCGAAACAAGATCAAAAAAGACTTTTTGGCTGGTTATAAGATTTTAAAACTTGTTTAGGTGGGCATTTTTTGCAGTGTARCTGCGAGGGCCATCCTGAATTTTCAAATCCAGAGTACCGTAGTTTTATTTATATGTATGTTGCCCTTCTAAAAGAAACACCGTGACCACCCGTGTGTCTCCCATGCACAATACGTCTAGCTCCACCCCTGCTTTCAACTTTTAGCCAGCTTTTTGCTACTTTTAGCTTCCATGTAGCCTTTTGCTATTGTTTTGCTGCTTTTTAAATTTAACAGCTTGGTTTCAGCTTCTTCAGCAGTCATTCATCACTCAGCATCAAGCTCGCATTTTTATAGGAAACATAGTAGTTTAACTATTTTAATTACTTTAGAAAAGTAATTTCAGTAATTACATTTAGCTGGCAGTCCAGCAATCACTGTGTGAGGGACGGGGACACCTGGACATGTCTCCGGTCCATCACATGGAGAAAAACAAGCTTTCTCCCTCGTACTCACACCTGGAGTTTAGAGTTACTGATGAACCTGCCTGCAGGTTTCTGGTCCGTATATACAGCATATATACTGTATATATACAGTGTATATATATATATATATATATATATACAGTACGTGCATATAAACAGTTAAGATTTGAAATTTAACTTTCAACTTTATAAGTCAGCTGACTGATAGGGTTGGATTTTTAAATTGATTCATTTAATTTGATCATTCATAAGATTAATGATGTTAAATGAAAATATAATTAAAATTTTAGCAATTTTAAAGAATATAAATAGCAAAAGTTAAGCTAAACACAATRAGCTTAGTTATGTTCTGCCTCTATCTGAACTGATCATCAGACTGGAGTGTCGTAACGTCCAACACACAACTTCTACTGACCAACATATCTGTGTGACAAAGCCTGCAGGGTGAAAAAAGAAGAGAGAAAACAAGCTATAGACTAGGTTTTATATAATTGTAATATAATCCTGGGTGTTATAATAAGTAACTATTTTTTACATGTTTKATTTGGTAAGTGTAACAAATTACAACTACTTTTGTTTTGTAATTAAAGTATAAAACACTATATTACTCACCAACTCTAATTGGGACAAACCCACACTGCAAAAACTGTCCATCTTACCAAGTTTTAAAATCTTTAATCCAGCCAAAACATATTTTTGATCTTGTTTTGAGACTGATTTACTAAACAAGAACTGACTGTGTAAGAATAATAATCTTGTTTTCAGAATGTGTAAGAT